TAGCAAAGCCCACTAAGAAGGCGTACCTTGTGCCGCCAGTCATACCCAAGCCGAGCAACAACCGCACCCGACCGCCGCCACCGATACTGCATTAACGCGGTATATCTACTAGTCAATTGTGTCGATTCGGCGAAAATAGGTAAGATCATATTTATGTTACAATTGTATAGTATAATCTTTGATTTTAATAACCGTGAAGATAATTTCGATACTTGCCTTTTTTACCTCTATCTACAATTAATTCTTTTTTAAATAAACTGTGGTATTTAAAAGTGACCAACAATCAACAAGACAGCAGTTTGGATGTAAAAAAGGAATTATATTCAGTTAAGAATATGATAACCCAGATATTTTTATAGTAAGATTTTTGTAGTAAGATTAATATTTGCTTTTCTATTTTTCAGAGTATTACGAGTTATACGAGTGTTGCATCAGTGAGGGGCCGACTACATACAAGAACGAAGATCTATTTACGCAATCAGTATTCACGTTACATTAAGTAAAGAAATACCAATTATAATCGTAAAAACCATCCGCTTAGCTCGTTATTGCCTCGCGTTTATCGACAACCTTACATAAATCGATTGTAAGATTATCTTACCAAATAAATCTCAGCTTAGTTTTTTAGAGAATAAAATACATTTTTAGTTGTGATGAGATTTTGTAATTTAATTATTATTATTTAGCTTTGACTTATTTGTTAGATGTAATTATATTTGGGCTATGTTGATTCTTATTGCATTGAAATGCAGAGAAACAATTTTTAATACGATACGTCCTAAATTAGATATATGTACTTGATGTTAGCATTAGGGTAAATTATTTACTGTTATATAAATATCTATGTAAGATATGTAACATAAAAGCCGTAAGGACTTTATTATTAAAATCTTTATGGCTCAGTTATTGTCTTTAAATATATAGTTAAGATAAATAGGCGCTTGATCCGTTGATTATCATTAAAACATTCTAAAATGAATACTTTTATCAAAATGTGATATAATGTTTGTTTGACTACTATGGCAGAGAAGTTTGGTAAAGCATAGTTCAAATTGAGATCTCATCCGTAGTTTTATTGAATCTAATGTAATCTTGCTATCTCAAGCCAAGAAGCTAATTTGTGGAAATTTCGTATGAATGTATAATCTTTGAAGATAGATTTAAATCTCTATTATTAACTAGCTGTTCCCGTGCGACTTCATCCGTGTATAATTATGAAAATTTTATTATATTGTTTACATGTGTCGAATAATCAATTACAAATGTCAAAATGACATGATGACAAACTATGGCAACCTTGCTTGCTTGATGTGTCAGCAACTTATGGTCTCTTTCCCACATTAGAGTTTTTAGCCAAAATGTTTGCTCCCTAAGTGTAATGGCGTGAAAATATATAGCCTAAAGCGTGACGTAAGTGTAGGGCTTTTTATTGAAAAAGGAATTATTTCAAAATATGCTGTAATTGCTGACATCTTAGGCAACAAAGAAGTGTGTGTTTACGCTTTATTATAATAGTATAGAATATAGATATAGAAAAGCGCTAAATGTCATTCTGTGTATTCGATTATGGGGTTGTTATTTCAAAGGGCTTTTATAAATTTAAGCGAGACGATTTTTTTTTTATTTAAAGCTCTATAGTATTGGAAATACACAGACTGAAGTTATGCTGGCAGAAATTAACAGATTTAAAATGAGATTTTGAACTTTTTAAATATATTTTATTAGCTCCCATTAGTGCCATATTTATACATCGATGTGACATAAAATATTTTTATAAAGTTTTCTATTAGACTCCATTCTTTTATATACATATACATTTCTTACTGATTAATTTGTGCAAAATTAACAAAAAACACATTTCGTTACGTAGACGTTTGTACAAAATATGCGTCGTATATAAAATAAATAGTACGTTATTTAAGTACAACTAATAACTAATTATCAAGCGACTGTTGTACATAGACTAATTTTCTAAATGTACAGTTAGTGGTATTATTTCATACATGCCACCGATCGATTGTGAAACACGTAACACGTAATTAACGAAATTCACAAACGGTAGGTGACATGTTCGTGTATCCTTGTTTAGTTGTTAGAAGCGTTACCAATGAACTTTATACGTAGAGTGCGATATTCGTATTTCATTTTCATATTGACGTACTCGCAGTCAGAATATTATTGTACAACTACTCTATGACACAAACGAAAAATTGTTGCTATTTTTAGTAGAATGACATT